ACTCTATAATATTTAATACATTTCTAATATTATCTTTGATTTCTCTGCCTGGAAGGAATTCAGCTTGGTCATGACGAATAAATTCTTTTAGGATTTTTTTCATTCTATTTGCCAAAACAAATGCAAATAGTTTATCATCATTATTAAGTATTGAGCTCAGCCTATAATTTTTAACTAACGTCACATTCAAATCTTGTTTTGGTATCAAAGTTATATACAGTGGTACCTCGCAAGACGAATGCCTCGCAAGACAAAAAACTCGCTAGACGAAAGGTTTTTCCTTTTTCGATTTGCCTCGCAAGACGAATTTCCCTATGGGCTTCCTTCGCAAGACGAAAACGTCTCGCGACTTTTTTTTCTTTGTCTAAAAACAAATACATGTTTTGTTTATAAAGTTAATTTATTTTCCCTTAATTTTTTGAACTGCTCTTTACAGTATGTGTGACTTTAAAGAGCAGTTAATAAACTGTTGTTGTACCAAATTTGGCTTTGTTTGGACTTTTTTTTGACCATAGGAACGCATTAATTGATTTTCAATGCATTCCTATGGGATTTCATGATTCGCAAGACGAAAAATTCGCTAGACGACAAAAATTGCGGAACGAATTAATTTCGTCTTGCGGGGCACCACTGTATTCCCCTGTTTTCAAAATCTCGTTCTTTGTGTCATATCATTCAGTATTTCTTCATTCAGTCTCCACCGAAAGGTGGACTGAGTGTCTTTCTGTATTTCCATAGTTATAGAATTATGATCTGACATTGTTCTTGGATCTATTTCAATATTTTTAATTTTTGGCTCCGATTCCTTAGAGACCCAAACTGCATCCAGTCAAGCACTGCTTTCATGAACAAGAGAGAAAAAAGTGAACTGTTTTTCGAACGGATGCTTAATTCTCCAAATATCTATCAATTTTACATTTTCTATCATTTCAAAAAAAGTTTTGAGAAGTCTACCCTCTTTCGTGTCTTTCCTCCTAATCGTTCTTTCGCTAGTGATGGGACTCGAATTGTCTCTAAATCCTGAATTTTTATTTATTTATTTTAATTTGGTTCATATATCCCTACCAAAATTCTTTTTTCTCCCTCAACTTTAATTTCTACCATTAATTTTCTCCCTTTCTCATCCTTTTGAACTAATTGTGGTTCAAGTGCAGGTTTTATGTACAAAACAATTCCACGTTTTTTGGAAACATCTGATGCAACAAAATGGCTCCCTAGTCTCTCATTACTCAAGATTTTCTCATGCTTTCTTGCAACGTGAGTCTCCTGTAGGCAAATTATATCCAAATTCCGTTTTAAAACTCATGCCACACCCTGTTTCTTTTTATATTACTGTTAAGGCCACTGACATTCCAAGTTAGTAATTTAAGATTTGCCATTATCTAATTCATTTTAAAAAGGGACGCGGGTGGCGCTGTGGGTAAAACCTCAGTGCCTAGGGCTTACCGATCGCATGTTCGGCGGTTCGAATCCCTGTGGCGGGGTGAGCTCCCATCTTTCGGTCCCAGCTCCTGCCCACCTAGCAGTTTGAAAGCACCCTTAAGTGCAAGTAGGTAAATAGGTACCACTTTATAGTGGGAAGGTAAAGGGCGTTTCCATGTGCTGCGCTGGTGCTGGCTCGCCAGAGCAGCTTTGTCACGCTGGCCACGTGACCCGGAAGTGTCTGCGGACAGCGCTGGCCCCCGGCCTCTTGAGTGAGATGGGCGCACAACCCTAGAGTCGGACACGACTGGCCCGTACGGGCAGGGGTACCTTTACCTTTACTTCATTTTAAAAAGATTTGCTTTTTTGCCCTGCTCTTTCAGTCTTTTCCAGTTCATCTCTTTGCATCTCATAAGGGGTTCTAAAGTCTCTCCCCGAGCTTTGAAACTCTGGGTCTTTGCCATGTTTCGCTAAGAATTCCTGTACCTGACTCTCTGAGATTAGTCTAAATCTCTTTCTCCTGTAGGTAAAGGAAACTCCCTCCAGGAATTCCCATTTGTAATTTATTTCTGCTCCTCTTAAAATTGCTGTCAGGTTTTGATACTTCCTTCTCTTAACTCTCAATTTAAATGGCATTTCTTTAAAAATGTCAACTTTCTGTCCTTCAACCACCAGACCATCCTCAAAACTTTTTTGCATTACTGCATCTTTAATTTTCTTTGTTGTGAAAGTCAAGAGAATGTCTGATGGCTGTTCTTTTCTCTCTTGAAGCTCGGGTTCAAACTCTGTAAACATTCTCAATGCATTCTTCCATACCTTCCTGTGCCCCCATCAAATTCCCCAATATCCCGCCCATATAACTTGCAAGGCCTTGTTTCTTCTCCTTTTCCGGCAACCCTCTTATTCGAACCGTCTTTGTATTTAATTTTACAGTGGTACCTCAGGTTAAGTACTTAATTCGTTCTGGAGGTCCGTACTTAACCTGAAACTGTTCTTAACCTGAAGCACTTTAGCTAATGGGGCCTCCAGCTGCTGCCGTGCCACCGGAGCCCGATTTCTGTTCTCATCCTGAAGCAAAGTTCTTAACCTGAAGCACTATTTCTGGGTTAGCGGAGTCTGTAACCTGAAGCGTATGTAACCTGAGGTACCACTGTAATTGTTAAAAGTAAATTCTGTTGTTCCAGTTCATTCTGTCTGTCTGCCAGGCCCCCTACCGCCCCCGCTAAAGCCAATTGATCTTCCTTTATTTCCTCTCTTAATTCCAGTTTTTTTCTAGTTTTACTACCTTGACATCCAAAGCATTTACTTTTTCATCCAGTCTGTCAAATTTCTGCGACAATACTTCCTTGGTGTTCTCTATATCTGATCTTATTTCCATAAATTGTTTAATCCAGTGTTCCCCAACCTTGGGCCTCCAGCTGTTTTTGGACTACAACTCCCATCATCCCTCGCTAGCAAGACCAGTGGTCAAGGATGATGGGAATTGTAGTCCGAAAATAGCTGGAGGCCCAAGGTTGAGGAACACTGGTTTAATCATAGTCTGCTCCAACCCTTTCCTAAATTCTGCAAAATGTAAGGCCACAAGTTCAGCCATTTCTGATTTTGGAGTATTTTCTATATCTCCCTGTGCTCAGACTCTCCTTCTTTCTGACACTCTCTGTTTTACTGGCTCCTGTTTAGATTTCTCTGCCATGTCAGTTCTCAAAACAAACTGTTCCCAAGCGCTTCTGTCTTAAGGACACTTCAGGTCTTTTCCTCACTTGTATACAAGTCTTTTCCCCTATCTTGTATACAGCAGTTCTCCCACCAATCCAATTCCCACACCCTTTTAAACCAAACTGTAACAACACTTTCAGGTTTACAGCAAATTATAAAAGTTCCACAATATACAAAAAAAAAAAAAAAAAGAAGAGGGCAAGATCACCTTTATATACAATCTACGGAAGAAAAAATAAAAAAGCAGGCCACAACAGCAGTCTAATAGTTACCACTGTTCAAAGCTCGCTGTTATGTTGTCTCCTTGATGATGATTTAGCACTTGCCAAACTTCTAGTTATATTATAATCCACAAAATGTCTTGTAATCTAAAACTCCACTGTGAGTCCAAAAATTTTCCAGGCGTATTTATAATGATATTTGTAACTCTTCCACATATAATGTTCAATTGTCCCCTACATAGCATAGCCAGGACTAAATTCCTGGGGCCCTGCTTTACTGCGCTTGGTTGGCAGGCCTGTTGAGTCACACGCCGCACTGCTTTTGCAGGATACAGATCCTTCTGTTACTCTGCAGGTGGCGAGATTCCTGAATGCGGTTATCTCACACGCAAAAACCACCAAAAAACAACATCAAAATCTAATCGGACAGTTATGATGAGAGTGCATGTCGGATCTCGTCTTCAGTTTTCCTTTTCTGTGAACGTCCCTTGGAGCTCTCCGGGCCACATCATGTTATTTGGCTCTGCCCAATGACCCACCCTTGCATCGCAGTGTTTCACCTTCTGTTGTCAGATATTTCGGTTTTTAAGCCTTTGTGTTTTTTTATGTTTGTACATATTTTATGGGCTAATAGCCGTAAATAAATAAATAAATGAATAAAATGATATTTGTAATCCAAATGATGTTTGTAATCCAATATCTGCTGCTTCTCTCAGTTTTTATTCCAATACAGGCCCTGTTCTTTAAACAGAAATCCTCCCCCCCCCCTTTCCTACTCCAGCTCTTACCAGGCACTTTCCCTCCCTGGGATTACCTCCCACTTATGGAAAAGTGTCCTTCTGCCAAGGTTTGGTAGGACTTGCCAAGATACAAGGTCCTTTTTAGAATTATTATTTTTTAAATCTTGGCAATTTTCCAAGCCTTTCAGTACTTTCCCTCATAAAATCTGCATTCCTATTCATAAGAACTGAGAGTACTCCAATCTCTTCCTGTTATCTTCCTTTTAAGAAATCAAAGAACAAAGAGCAACAGTTTCTTCTTGTATCCAAAGTATATCGTGTTATTAAGTAGCAAAGTGCAGTTTCAAAAGTATCTGAAGACTGATGTGTCTCCAAAGTTTTTTCCCCATTTACAAGTCTGTACCGCAATTCTTTTGATTTTGAAAACTCCATTGTTGTTGACAATAACTTTTTTCCTTTGAAAGTCTGCTGCTTCAGGTGGTGATTCAATGGTTTCAGGATTCTGAGCCACGCTGGAGCCACGGGCAGGCTCAAATCGCTGTCTCTCTCTCTCTCACACCCCCACCCCCACTCACTGCCAATGCAGTGGTGGAGCTCCGGCAATCGCGACAAGCCTCTTTATGCCTGGCTGGTCCCCTCAACACCCCACTGCCTTTTTTTGGGGGGTGCCTAACCCTGGCACTCTCCTCCATTGCTCTAACCCCTGCCCCCGGTAATGGTCGCCTTTTAGACGGACGACTCGCACCACGCCGCCATTTCCCTTCGCAGGCAAACCAGAAACCCCACTCATGGACTCATTGTTAAAACCGTGTTTATGGAAGACTATCTTACTCGGCTCGAGTGATCGCCAAAGAAGAATTTTTCTCTTGAGTGTGCATTGAGGCTTATTATACAGTATATATTTTCAACAGCATTTGTTCATTAGAGCTGTGATCTGAGGGGCTATACTCTCATTGCAAAGATACATCATTTACATACGTCAACAGAATACCAGTGAATGCATTTGTGTCTATGAAAATATCAGATCAATTCACACCAGATTAACAAATCTTGGGGATGGGAGAAATATTAAAGCAACACTATAAACAAGTGATGAATACACGGGAAATAACACATGGGAAAGAAAACAGAACATAGCTATGTAAATTTAACTCTGATCAGGAGAACAATCTGCAACACAGCCACTAAAAGGAATAAATATTCTAATGGAAGCAAATTCTAATTCTGAACACAATCATTGGTTTACTCTCTATAGGCGTTATTTGATATGATTAAATATCTTCCCACACTCCAACCTTTCTGTTTCCCTTGTACAAGTTCATTTCAGGTTAGTAAGGGAGTCCTTGTCACATAAGTTCTTTCTATAGGCCAAACATTTCTAAGATTTCCTCCCTGTATGAGTTCTTTGGTGTCTAGTAAGGCTACTACTGCACCTGAAGCTTTTTCCACACTCCCGAACATGTATACGGTTTCTCCCCTGTATGAGTTCTTTGATGCACCTTAAAGGCGCTAAGGTGACTGAAGTTCCTTCCACACTCCAAACATGTATATGGTTGCTCTCCTGTATGAGTTCTTTGATGCGACGTGAGTTGGCGACCATGACAGAAGCTCTTCCCGCACTCCAAACATTTATAAGGTTTCTCTCCTGTGTGCAATCTTTGATGCAAGGTAAGGCTGGCACTGTGACGGAAGCTCTTTCCGCACTCCAAACATGTATATTGTTTCTCCCCTGTATGAACTCTTTCATGTAAGGAAAGGGAGTCATTGCGACTGAAGCTCTTGCCACATTCCCAGCATTTATAAGGTTTGTTGCCTCGATGAATTTGTTGATGTCTAGTAAGCGCATTGCGGTAAGCGAAGCTCATTCCACACTCCAAACACGTATGCTGTTTCTCCCCTGTATGAGTTCGTTGATGCGACTTAAGGGTGCTACTCTGACTGAAGCTCCTTCCACACTCTGAACATGTATACGGTTTTTCCCCAGTATGAGATCTTTGATGCGACTTAAGGGTGCTACTCTGACTGAAGCTCCTTCCACACTCTGAACATGTATACGGTTTCTCCCCTGTATGAGATCTTTTATGCAAGGTAAGGGTACCAGTGTGATTGAAGCTCTTTCCACACTCTGAACATGTATACGGTTTCTCCCCTGTATGAGTTCGTAGATGCAAGGTGAGGGAACTAGTTTCACTGAAGCTCTTTCCACACTCCAAACATTTGTAAGGTTTCTCCCCTGTATGAGTTCGTTGATGCGACTTACGATAGCTACTGTTACTGAAGCTCTTTCCACACTCTGAACATGTATACGGTTTCTCCCCTGTATGAGATCTTTGATGTAAAGTAAGAGTTGAGCGACTACCCAATCTCTTTCCACACACGCTGCATTCATGCTTTTTATCCTCTCTGGGAATTTGGTTTTCACCACCCTGAGACATACAAGAGTCACCCTCCGGCTTCTGCTTTCGTCTCCCCTCTCGCCTGCTGCCTCCATCTTGAACCCTCAGCTTCCTTTGCTCCCCCTCCTCTTTGGATCCTTTTGATGACACTTCTGAATGTTCCCCTTCTACCAGGATCCCTTCAACATCTCCTGATGGAATAAAAAGGCAAACTGATGAAATGCTAAAGGAGCGTCTTCACCCCAATCATTCAGCCAGGACACAGAGATCCAGGTCCCAGGGCCTTGTGGCAGTTCCCTCACTGTGAGAAGGGAAGTTATAGGGAACAAGGCAGAGGGCCTTCTTGGCAGTGGTGCCCACCCTGTGGAACACCCTCTGGTAAGTTGTCAAAAAAATAACTATGCAAATATTAGAAGTCAACTGAAGGCAGCACTGTGTAGGGAAGTTTTTAATGTTTTATGTTTTATTGTGCTTTATATTTGTTGGAAGCCAGCTAGAGTGGCTGGGGCAACCCAGTCCAATCCGTGGGGTACAAATAACGAAAGTATTAATGTTAGTATTATTATTTATTGAGTTTATATACCACCCTATACCCAGGGCCTTGTGGCAGTTCCCTCCCTGTGAGAAGGGAAGTTACAGAGAACGAGGCAGAGGGCCTTCTTGGTAGTGGTGCCCACACTGTGGAACACCCTCTTGTGAGATGTCAGATGAATAACTATACAACTATATAACCTTTAAAAGACATCTGAAGGCAGCCATGTAGAGGGAAGTTTTTAATATTTTATTATGCTTTTATATTTGTTATATTTGTTAGAAGCCAGCTAGAGTGGCTGGGGCAACCCAGTCAGATTCGTGGGGTACAAATAATGAAAGTATTAGTATTGCATTAACATTGTCTTATTTATTGAGTTTATATACTGCCTTATACCCGGAGGACTCGGCATGGTTCACAGAAAAGATCACATCGTATATAATCAGAATAAAAACAAAAGCCCAATAACACCCACCCCCCCAAAAAGAGCAACCTTTGAAAAAGTCTATAGGAGTCAAACATAGCAAGCAAAAACCTGGTTTAAAAGGAACATGTTTGCATGGCACCTAAAGGTGTATAGCCCTTCATGGATCACTGCCTTGTCATGGCAAAGGGGCTTGAATAGCTCAGAGAAGCTATGACCTATAATAATAATAAATAATAATGAAAAATTATTGATACTACAAAACACTTAACTGATTTTACAAAAAATGCATAAAATACGGTATAAAGCTTAAATAACAATAAAATCAAAAATCAATTTAGGGAGGAAATCCATCTAATAAACATTAGATGATCACCCGAGCTAGCTGGCCAAATTAGTCCCACCTGGGCCAGCGAGGAGACCAGGGGAGAACTAGCTGTGGGATCCCAGAGTGGGTAATCTTCACAAAAAAGGGAGGGGGAGGGAAGGAAGGAAGGGGAACAAAAGATCAGGCCAGGTTCAAACTGAAAGCCAGGCGGTATAGTTCTGTCTTACAGGTCCTGAGGAAGGAAGATGGACAGGTCATCTGAGAGTTTAGACTAAATGGGATCCACCTGGAGAAGAAACTGGCAACCCACTCCAGTATTATGCCATGAAAGCTCCATGGACATGAAAAAGGAGAAGCTTTGAGAGGAAAGTGAGTTTCCAAGGCGTGCTCTGATTCATGGGGTCACGGAGAGTCGGACACGACTAAGACGACTAAACAACAACAAAGGTGTATAAGGAAGGCGTCAGGTGAACTTCCCTGGGGAGAGCATTCCACAGACGGGCAGCCACTGCAGAGAAGTCCCTGTTCTCGTGTTGCCACCCTCTAGACCACTTGAGATCAGAAGGGGATCTCAGGGTCCGAGTAGGTTCATATGCAAAGAGGTGGCCCTTGAAGTATTGTGGTCCTGAGCCATTTAAGGCTTTATAGGTCAAAACCAGCACTTTGAATTGGGCCTGGAAACTATTTGGTAGCGAGTGCAGTCAGACTAGGATGGGGGTAATATGCTCAAACCACCTTGCTCCAGTGAGCAACCTGGCCAGTAAATTCTGCACTAGCTGAAGTTTCCAGACTGTCTTCAGAGGCAGCCCTACGTATAACGCATATCTATATCTAACCTTGAATTTCCCAGAGTATAGACAACGGTAGATAGGCTATTCCTGTCCAGATAGGGGTGTAGCTGGGCTACCAGCCAAAGATGATGGAAGGCACTACAAGCCATCTGAGCCTCGAGCAACAGCAAAGGATCCAGGAGAACCCCCAAGCGACGAACCTGCTCCTCCAGAGGAAGTGTAACTCCATCAAGAGCAAGCGACCTCCCAGCCATCTGCTCTAGGGAACCACCCACTAACTGAACCTCACTCTTATCTGGATCGAGCTTCAATTTGTTGGCTCTCATCCAGTCCATTACCGAGGCAAGACACTGGTCCAGCACTTCCACTGCCTTATCTTCAGATAGAAAGGAGAAATAGAGCTGAGTGTCATCAGCATACTGCTGGCAACGTACTCCAAACCTCTGGATAACCCTTCCAGCGATTTCATGTAGATATTAAACAACATAGGGGATTGGATTGGGCCTTGCGGAACCCCACACTGAAGCTTCCATGGGGCTGAAACGCATTGCCCAAGTAACACCCTTTGGAAATGACCATCCTAGTAGGATTGGAACCATCGCAAAGCAGTGCCACCCACCCCCAGTTCAGAGAGTCGCTCCCGAAGGATACCATGATCAGTGGTATTGAAAGCCGCTGAGAGGTGGAGAACAATGAACAGGGACACATTTCCCTTTTCTCTCTCTCGACAGAGGTCATTATACAGGGGCCACCAAAGCAGTTTCCGTGCCAAAACCAGGCCTAAACCCTGATTGAAATGGATCCAGAAAATCAGTTTCTTCCAAAAGCACCTGGATCTGGTCTGCGACCACTCACTCCAGAACCTTGCCCAGGAAAGGGAGATCAACAACTGGCCGGTAGTTAATTAGGCTTTCTGAATTCAGAGAAGGTTTCTTAAGGAGTGGTTTTACCTCTGCCTCCTTCAAACATGCAGGGACCACCCCCTCTTGTAAAGAGGTACTGATCATCTCCTTGGTCCTGCCAACTGTTCCCTCCTTGCTGGATTTTATCAGCCAAGAGGGGAAAGGGTCTAGAATGCAAACGGTCACCCTGACTGATCAAAACACCATGTCCATATCCTCGAGTCTTGCCAACTGAAAAAACTCATCCAACACAACAGGACTAGACTGTGCTCTGGACACCCCAAGAGACTCATCTGCTGTAACAGCAGAGTCAAGGTCTTGGTGGATGCAAGCAATTTTATCTTCAAAATGCTTTGCAAACAAGTCACAGCAAGCTACTGCTGGTTCTACTCCTCCTTTGAGCCTGTCTGTAAAAGGCTCTGTACAACTTGGAAAAGTTCTGCCGGGCGACATAATGAAGATGCAATGGAGGCAGCAAAGTATGCCTTCTTTTCTCCCTTCACTGCCACTAGGTAGGCTTGATAATGAGCCCCTACCAGTGTTCGGTTGCATTCATTTGGATCTTTCCTCCACTTTCATTCAAGCAGTCTCCCAGCTTGTTTCCTCACCTAAGCTCTGGAGTGTACCAGGGAGCCAATCAGGCTCCACAAAGTGGGAGAGGGCGCTCAGGGGTATTATTATTATTATTATTATTAGTAGTAGTAGTAGTAGTAGTAGTAGCGTTAGCCTGTCTAAGTAAGGCCTCAGCCACACTTGGAATTTTAATGTGGACTTGAAGTTGCTTGTTTCTCCTTTTTTAAAAAAATCTCTTATGCCCAGAACTCCTCTTGCAGAAACTGCTTACACAAATAATTTAAAATGTGTGTGTTGGGTGTGTGTGTAATTGGTTCTTTTTGTTTCTGTTTTGATTATGTACTTTTATCCTGTGAACCGTCCTGAGGCCTGTGGGTATAGGGAGGTATGTAAATTTAACAAATTATAGTAAAATCAGGCCAGATAAAAATTATTACAAGTTCCAGGGGGAGCCTCTGCAGAAGGTTTTTCAATGCTTAAGGGTTTGCCTTGACCCCAAGCCCTATGGGGAGCCCAAGGAAGGTCCCCCACCTGCCCAAGTTGGCCTGCAGGGAGGAGAGCAGGAGAAAGATCTGCCCTTCTATTGGGAAAAGATGTCCTACCCCCCCAAAAAGGGGGGAAAGACCTATAAATGCATTATTTTACCGGAATTATATACAGAATGCATTAATTATGGCAAATGTAAATATTTGTGGAAATACCCTTCGCAAAAGCGTGAGCATTAGGCGAGATCTGCACCAAAATGCTGACCAATTTTCAAGAGGTCTTTAATAATGAGAAAATCTGGATAAATTGATGACTAGAAAAAGGAGACGCAGAAAAAAACTTACATTGAAACGCTTTGCCTAACAGGGTTTTTTTAAATCCCTCCTCAGAACTCCCTCCAGCAGCACCCCCACTCCCCCCCCAGTTATAATATATAACAATATGACGCACCTCCAGCGCCTCCGCGAGGAACGACACTCGCCGCCATGTTTGGCATCTTCCCACGGGAGCGGAAGCTGCTATTCTCCCGGCAGCCTTTTTTTCTTCCGCTCTAGGAATCTCAGCTCTGTCGCCGCTGCTCTTAACCGATTCGGAGCCGAGCGGCAGGAGACTCTCGGCTTCTCCGGGCAAAGAGGGAGGAGAGGCGCTGGTCTCGCCTCCGGAAAGCCCCGCTGGGTCAGCTGCACGGGAGCCCCAAAACGTTTTCTAAACTAATTTTTAAAAATTATTTTCAATTTTCAAATTAACAACATTTTTGCTTTTGGTACAATCCATATCCAATCCAAATTTGCAATAATTGACTTCCCCCCGCCCCCGTTTCTATCCCCCCCTTTTATTCTCCTTGCATGTAATTACTATATATTTCCTCAATTAATTTCAATTTTGTTCTCCCTCCTGACTGGCCCAAGGTCACCCAGCAGCTGCATG